TCTCTCCTTTTTAATTCTATCAGTTAGTATTAACAGACACTAGTCTGGTTTGTGCGATCCCTTTGACTCTTAATCCTATCATTATGATGAATTATGAACTGAAACTGGTCACTAAATGCCCATCAACAGTAGACTGGATAAAGAAATTATTGTATATGTACTCTATAGAATATTATACAGCAGTAAAAACAATGAAATCTGGTCATTTGCAACAAAATGGAGGAATCTGGAAAACATCATGCTGAGTTAAATAAGCCAGTCCCAAAGGGACAAATATCATATGTTCTTCCCGATTGGTGACAACTAACCAAGCACCTAAACGGAAACCTGTTGAAGTGAAATGGACACTATGAGAAACGATGACTTGATCAGTCCTTGTCCTGACTGTCGAGGAACAACTTAATACTTTATCCCTCCTAGTATTTTTTTGTTTGTTCTACTTAATACTATTGGTTGAACTCTTTAATTAACACACAATTATTCTTAGTTGTTTAAATTTAATTGAAAAGTGATCCCTGTTAAATATAAGAGTGGGAATAAGAGAGGGAGGAGATGTACAGTTCAGCACATGCTCAATTGGACTTACCCCTAATGTTAGAGTTAGAAACATGCCAGGGGATTCTAATTCAATACCATCAAGGTGGCATGTACCAATGCCATCTCACTAGTCAAAGTAATCAGTTTCAGTTCATAATTGATCTTTTTTTTAAAATAGGTCCCTTTGTTATTTAGGGACCCATCTGGGTCACCATTATGATATCATCCTTTCTTATTAATAGTTTTAGATACTAATAATCCTGTGGGTTCTTACTGTCTATTCAGAGATGAATTCTGAATACCAGCTCAAATAGACCAGGTTACATGGTAGGTTTTAAATGTTTCATTCAGTGAGAGAAACGCCCAGGAGTGAGGAGAGGAGAAAGGGGAGAAAGAAATCTAGAAGCTAAGTTGGGTCCATACCCGCAGAGAGCAGGCCGGGTGCCACGTGGAACAGGCATGTAGCAGGAAAGCAGAGGCAGAGTGGAGGCCAAAAGGCCGCACACTGGGAGGCGCAGGGCAACACACCATCTGAACTATTTTTATGTGAATAATTCCTCTGTGCCCAGAGACCCCTAACATGACAGTGCCTTGCCCATTGTTAATGCTTGTGTTTAACATGTGTCTAAGAATAAATGAATAGTTGAAAAGAAATCCTAAGGGGTCAGCACTGTGGCACAGCAGGTTAACGTCCTGGCCTGAAGCGCCAGCATCCCATATGGGCACCGGTTTGAGACCCGGCTGCTCCACCTCCAATCCTGCTGTCTGCTATGGCCCGAGTAGAAGATGGCCCAAGTCTTTGGGCCCCTGCTCCTATGTGGGAGACCCGGAAGAAGCTCCTGGCTCCTGACTTCGGATGGGCACAGCTCTGGCCGTTGCAGCTAATTGGGGAGTGAATCATTGGATGCAAGAACTCTCTCTCTCTCCTCTCTCTATGTAACTCTTTCAAATAAATAAATCTTTAAAAAAAATCCTAAATAAATAAGAATTACTTAGAAATTATTTACTGAAATCAATGATTTTTGCTTACATGAAATCTCTCTCATGTTATACATCTGCATTTTAATAATTATAAAATAATTTATATTCATGAATAGAAATTCATAATTAACTGTAATTGATGAAAAACATTGACTCATAAATGGGATAGCAATACCACTAATACTACTAAACTTGAAGTATCTTCATACACACATAATTATATTTATAAACATATTTATAAACATATTCCTTAGCAATAGTCAAATCACTGGTCATCAACATTTCTAAATTAATTCACAGCAGTAGATTTGCTTAACCTGGAATGGAGTAGGATGGTAGATGGAAAGCTCTGTTACTAATAAACATTCACAAAACATTCAATTGTCCCTGGAACTATGTTCTGGTTGCCTGAGATAAACAATAGATATAATTAGAAGACAACTGATTTCTGGGCATCAACTCCATTTTAAGGAAACCTTGCCCGCTTTCACTTTGCATTTCATTTGAGAGAAGACGAAGTTTCCATCTGAGTCCTGATATGGGTACCAGAATTTGCTTTCATGCAAAACCTGCCAATGACTTTAGTTGTTATCCTTTGCATAAATACTCAGCTTCCTGGCTGAGAAGGTGAGCTGAGCAAAGAGAAAAGCCTGCCCATTTTAGCTGCAGTCATTGCAGACATTTGAGACGTGAATGAGTAGATGGCAGCCATCTCTGTCTTTGTCTGCCTGGGTGTCCCTCTTTGTCTCATAGTCACTCAAAAATATAAGATTATGAACTTTAAAATTTCTGGTAGACAATTTTCTTTTACAGGCAGAGTGGACAGTGAGAGAGAGAGACAGAGAGAAAGGTCTTCCTTTTATCATTGACCATTTTAAAAGAAACAGCGAGAAGAAGGGACTCTGAACTGAACCTGAAGAGTAAAAGGAACTATTCTGTCATTTGGGTAGGTGGGATGTAGAAGGGGCCAGTTCACCAAGTGTTACACAGGATCGGTTAGACCTCTTATTCTAATCCATAATCATTTTCAGCAAGTATGCTCTTTGCTCCTCCCAGGGACCATTAGGTACACAAGTGCCTCGTGAGGCAGGGCTCTGGCTCCATCTACAACAGTGACATCTGACAGCTGAAGGGCACTGTCATGAGCACGCGACTCTGCCTCTCCCTGATTAAAAGGCAGATTTCATCAGTTCCTGCAATTTGCACAACTTAGAGAGGGCTTCATATTCAAGTATCCACATAAATAATCTTCCATTTAAAAATGTACTTTCATCACAGAGAAATTAATGACTATAGTTACATTTGTAACTAGAATTTGCTGGATTACAAACTCTGCTTAGAAGAACTCCCACTTTCCAGCTCCCACCTATCAGGGGACTCTTTCAATTTATTCTCAGGTCATCTGCAGCATCCTTGGAGGAAATCTGTGTAACTACTCTAAATTTTGTGTTCACAATGTGTATCCCAGGGAAGCCAGAGCTCACAACAGGATACCAATGTGTCCTCCAGATAGGGACACTTGTGGGTATTTGTGCAGCACAGGGGACAAATCTGTTGGAATGTGTGGAAACATTCTGTGGAAAAATCTCCCAAGCAGCAGACCTGCATTATTTTAAGGAGAAAAGTTCTTAGTTTTCCTTGTTCATCTGTATTTTCCATTTACTTTTTTAAACCATTACTTATAAAATTGAATGCATTAAAAGGATTATGTTACATATTGTAAAAACAATTTCAGATCATTCATTACGCCAGCCAATAAATGACTAAGGAATAAGATGTTGAAAACTCATAATTTCAGACCGGAGCTGTGGCATATGGGTAAAGCCTCCGCCTGCAATGTCACATCCTAGATGGGTGCCAGTTTGAGTCCCAGCTGCTCCACTTCCGATCCAGATCTCTGCAATGGCCTGGGAAAGCAGTAGAAGATGGCCCAAGCACCTGGGCCCCTGCATCCACGTGGTCCTGGCTCTGACTCAACCCAGCTCTGGCTGTTGCAGTCATTTGGGGAGTGAACCAGCCGATGGAAGACCTCTCTCTCTCTCTCTCTCTCTCTGTCTCTCTCACTCTCTTTCTTTCTTTCTCTCTCTCCCCCTCTGCCTCTGCTTCTGCCTCTCTGTAACTCTGCTTTTCAAATAAATAAATCTTTTAAAAAACTGATAGTTTCTGCTCATCCATATGACAAGGACCCTTAAGCCAACAGGAAAGTAGTACAAAGAAATGATCATGTGACATCCTTCCAGAGGTAGGGAAACAGAGGGCTTGGGTTTCCTGCAGGTCAAGTTGGGAGAAAAATGTTGTCTTCCATCTCCCTCTACTCAGTCACATTCTGCAATCCACTGAAGCTGACCAATCTGTTCAAGCTAGTACTGAAAAACAAGACTTGCTGTTACTTTTGATTCTGGTTTCTTCCTCAGTTTCACTGAGTGTTTGCACATCTAACGAGTTATGTTTCAAGAACAGCATGTGAAAGTTCAAAGCTTGGCAGGACATCTGGACTAGCAGTTAAGATGCCAGTTAAGACCCTGTCTCATATTGGAGTGCCTGGCTTTGATACCCAGCTCTAACTCCTGCTCCCGGCTTCCTTCTAATGCTGATACGGGAGGCAGCACTGATGAGTCACGTGGTGTGGTGTGTATAAGATGAAATGCTACTTGTAATATTCAACCACCAAGCAGATCTCAGATCATCATGCTAAGTGAAGTAAGCCATACCCAGAAACACAAAAATCACATGTTATCTCTTATTTGTGAAAATAAAAAGTATAAACATGGTGTGGATGCTGTATCACTAGTGATAGAATTATAAATATTGCTTCACTGAATTATGCCATGTAAATGGAAATACACCCTTTTTTCCCCAGGTTAAAAAAAAAAAGAGAGAAACTAGTTCCAGGAAGCATTATACACCCTACAGGAACCTGGGAATGTATTTGAATCATACTTAGGTCGGCTTTTGTGGAAACATCCACACAATGAGACACGTTCTTCAGCTTACCTGAGCCACCCTCACAGGGCTGCGCAGGTGTGAAGGGGCCCTTTCTGCGGTCTGCTGGTTGCTTGCCTGTGTCTCCTCAGCAATCCCCAGCAGCCGCCAGAGCAGGCACCTGCACTAGGGCTCCATGCCAGGTGCTTCCTGTTTGGATCTCAGGAGGATGAACTGCTTTTCCTTGCAGGCCCCTGTGCAAGCCCCTGACCTGCAGGGAGGTCAGCTTGCCCAGGAGTGTGCGTGTTACCCAGGCAGTGTCTGTGGTGGCCATTAGAGGCAGAGGCTGCTCTTGTCTGACTGAAGGGTGCTAAAATGGACAGAGGGACAGGGGCTCCTTCAGGGATTAGCAGGGGCACAGCGGTTCAGAACCTGGAAGCCTAAGACTTCCTCACCCCCTCTTCCTAGAAACCACGATTTCCTGTCCACCTGCAAAATACAGCAAACATCTCAACCGTTACCAAGAAAAGCATATGATTTCGCTTTCGGTTGTCCTCCACTCAGCCCTTATTTGGGTGGTGAGAACAGCGGTGGTTTTCAACTTAACAGTGTGTGTAGGAGGAGCCAGATCAGGAGCGATGGCAAGTGGTGAGCGCAGGCACAGGAGAACTTGGCCCTGACTGTGGCGCCCTGGTCAGGTAAGTGCGAGGAGGTGCTTCTTCTCCTTGGCCCCTTCCCTTCACTGAGGGCGACCACCATGAATTCCTAGCGCAGCCTACTTAGGAGTGGTGGGCGCAGGCAGCAGGAGGACTTCACAGGCCTGGTGCGAGGCCGGCAGGGGCTTTCTCTGGACCCCTTAGTATCTCAATGGATTTTAGAGGCTGCAGCCCTGTGCCTGCTGTGCCCAGGATGCCCTGCTGCTCCTAGGGTTTCCAATCTGGGCTGCAAGCAAAGAGCTCTGAGTAGAACAAGAAGGGAAGGATCCTACCCGCTTATGTGCAAAGGAGCTGAAGTCCTTTCTAGGACCCAAATCCAGCACCTGGCAGAGGCGCTGCTGTGGGGTGGCTACCTCCCGCCACCCTGCTCCTGGAGCTCTTTATGCTCAGTGAAGTAAACCAGCACAGAAAGACCAGTGCACCGCGATCACACTCCTGTGGAATCAAAGAATTCATCTCACAGCAGTTAAGTGTGTAATGGTGGTTTCCAGCGGCTGGGAGGAAAGCGTGGGCAAAGGCAATTTAGGAGGTACTAAGTTATTTTAGATAAGAGTAAGCAGTTCTAGTGTTCTGCAGTATGTAGGGTGATACTGATAGTGTACTAAAGATTTTTCTTAAAAGTAGAAAAATCTAGAAGAAAAGATTTGAAGGTTTTCCCCATAAAGAAATGATAAATGTATCATGAGGTAGTTATGTTTAACCTGATTGGCCATTGCACAATGTGTCATATATCAAAGCATCACATGGTACAAAATATGTATAATTTTTAAAAAAGGATTTGGTTAAGCATCTAAGAGGTAGAGGACAGAGAGAAAGAGACTGATTCCCACGCAGTGGTTCACTCCCCAGATGTCAGCAACAGCTCACTTAACCTGCACCACCAGAACCTGTTAAAAAGTAAAAGCAAATCATTGGTTACATAGCTCAGAATGCTTTGCATCAAATACACAATGCACAGCTCCAGTTTCACTGCCCAATTCTGCTCCCAAGCACTTGTACACAAGTAGAGAAACTATACAAAGAAAGGTTATTAAAAACTTTTGTTTGTTTTTCTAACAGATCTTGGATTGTTATTATTTCTTGGTAATTTCAACTTAAAGAACAAGGAGGCGTATCCTAATACATTTTCAGACTTTCTTGTTGTGGTAAAAGGATTTTAATCATTTATATTAAAAAAATTTAGTGAGTGTCTTTTTCTCAGTATTACAGTAGCAAATCAGGCAGTCATTATTGCTTACCTGTAACCTTGATGAGAAATTTACAAAGATGAAGTCCAACTGTAAGGTCTCCCCCCAAGCTATGGATGATTTAAAAATGTTTTATTGTGACATTAATATAAAGAGAGCAGATTTGACATAGTTCACAGGTAGGATTCTAAGAATATAATGATACTTATCCTCCAGCCTTCCTCCCTCTCTCTCTTTCTTTGAAGGTTTGAGATAACACTGTTAACTTACATTATGGTCAAAGGCATAATGCTATATTAAATAAAGAGTTCAACAAGTTAAAAGAAAAGAGAACTTATTTCACAGGAAGATAGGCAAGGGCTATAAACAATAATCAAATGAAAAAATGTTAATTTCACTCATGAAAAGTGAATTTTAAAATAATCCCAGATTATGAAAACTATAGTGATATAGAATTTTTAACAATATTTTTGATATAGAACAAAGTTTGATAACAGTATATTTGCAGCAAAACTGGTACATACAGCCATTTCTAGTATTTTTTTGGTCCTAGTATTAGTTTTTGTTTTTTAGCTCCAACGTACATGAGATAACATGCTGCACTTATCTCTTTGTCCAGCTTTTTCCTCTCAACATGACGTCTTCCATTTGCAATCACTTTGATGGAAATGACAGAATAGTATTCTTTTTTATAGCTGAACAATAGTCCATTGTGTGTGTGTTTGTGTGTGTGTATGATAGTGTATGTATATATATGTGTGTGTGTGTGTATACCATGTTTTCATATGATGATGGACATTTTGGTTGAGCCCATATTTTGGACACAGCACGGTTTCACAGTATGGGCAATGGGTGATTTAAACCCAGACTTTCAACCCTGGCAGTTCATCCCAGGACAGCTCTGAGTTCCTCTTGGCTGATCCATTCTCCCTCTGTCAGCCTTTCTGTTGGGTCAGCACCTGCCTGCTCATCCTCACCATGGGCTGTGCCCTCTGCTTGCTTTTATCCTGGGGACTAGTGTTGCTATTTCTGTCCAAAGCCAATTCTTCACGTCCCTTCAGGAAATATCTGCATGCTACCTTAGACTCTATTTTCAAGCATGGTTTATATAGGAATCACTGTAAACTAGGCATGGTTTCAGGAGTACTTCAAGAGCTATTTAATGACCACTAGATTGTCACTGCTTACTATTTCTCTTTTATAGAAGAAACAGAGATGCAGAGAAGTTAGTAATCCTTCTGGTGGCCACACCACTAGTAAAGTTATTGAACACATAAATGCTGCTTAGCATTGTTTTTGAGAAGATAAGTGACATCCAAATCTCTCTGACTGGGGCTGGTGCCATGGAGTAGTAGGTTAAGGCACTGCTTGCAATGCTGGCATCTGGTATAGGCACTGGTTTGAGGAGTCCCAGCTGCTCCACTTTGGATCCAGCTCCCAGCTAATGCACCTGGGAAAGCAGCATAAGGTGGCCCAAGTCCCTGGGCCCTGGCACCCACATGCAGGACCTGAAAAGGCTCCTGGCTTCTGGCTTTTGGCTTCGGATCGGCCCAGCTTTGGCCACTGCGACCATTTGAGAGTGAACCAGTGGATGGAAGGCCTTTCTCTCTGTCTCTCCATCTCTTAGTAACTCTGCATCTAAAATAAATAAATAAATCTTTAAAAAATACTCTCTGACTGCCTTCTTGTTAGGAATGCCACACTGGTGTATTTTCACAACAACATAGCTTATCCTCAATGCAGCCATGATGAGGCTCAGCAGCAAAAGAACTGCAGAAACCCCAAAGTATATTAACTGCTGAGTTTGCTGCACAGGTCTTGTGCTTCTCTTTCTTTCTTTCTTTTTTTTTCTTTTTGGTAACCAATGCTCTCAACTCTGTGTATAGTCAACAGCCAGAGTTGGAGCAATGCTTTTTTAGAGTTCTTGTAAAAATCATGAAGTAAGGTATATAAGGTACCTGTAACCAGGTGTTGACATTCTAGATGAGTTATTTTTCTTTTAAAGATATATAAAACTTTGTAGGTTGACATATACAGAGCATAAATAGAAAGCTGACATGCATTACACTTGAATAACCAATAGGAACAGCTTCAGGATCCTTTTATTACTCAATGACTTTTTTGGGTTACAGGTTACCATGGCGACTGATATCACCATGAAGACCCCCATCTGTCTAGTGGAAAACTGGGAAGAGCAGCTGAAAGTGAATCCCATAGCTTTGGAGATTCTTAACCAGATATCCCAACCTGTGGTGGTGGTGGCCATTGTGGGATTATGCCGTACAGGAAAATCCTATCTCATGAATCGCCTGGCAAGACAGAACCATGGTGAGTGTGGGCCTGGAACAGGGGTCATTAGCTTGGCACCAGTGACAACATAGGCTGATGATTCCTTGTCTAGAGTCACCTGAAAGGAGAGCATGACTCCTGCAAAGAAGAAAACTTCTCATTGTCCCCTCCAGATTTACAACCTCAACCACACATGTATCCAGAAAATATTATTAGTTAGCCTATTAATGAGGAGTTCCTTATGTCTTTCAAAAGATCAACTCCACTTCATTTTCTTTACCTTTTAAGCATTTATTTATATTTCTTTTGAGGGCAGCAAAATAGCCCGACAGAGATCGTTCATCTGCTCTTTCAGTCCCAGATGCTCTCAACAACTGGGGATGGGCCAGGTCACAAGCACCTAGAGCTCTATCCAGGATTCACAGGCACCTGAGTACTTGAGTTGCTACTTGCTGCATTCCAGGCTATGCACTACTGAGAAACTGGATCAGAAGCAGAGATGAAACTTGGACTCAGGCACTTTGATATCAGAAAAAGCTGTCCCAAATAGCATCCTAACTACTGCTCCAACCTCCTTCTGATCCTCTTGATCCCTCCCACTATAACTTGCTCAGGAGATGAACGATAGTTATTATTTCTTTTTTCCTCTTACATCTGTTCTCACAAACTGTATGTTTCATTCAAGTAGCATATAAAATTCTGAAAATATTCAGAAACATTCATAGAATTAATGTACATTGAATATTAAAATTGAGCTACAATGCCTTCTGTTTTGCTTCATGACGTAATAAATTATATTCCCTTCTCTTTCTATATTAAATTTTTTCTAATATTTGAACTACGACACATACAGAAGAATATATAATATACACATATACATAAAGTTAAATATAAAGTGAATGCCCATGTAATCAGGATCAAGAAACAAAACTTCACAGACACCAAACTGTCCTAATAATACCTCCTTACACTCTAACTAGAGCTCCTGAAATTTTAGTTTCATAGGCACACTCCTTCCACTCTTGCTTTTTATTTTTTATTTTTTAACCTTTATTTAGTAAATATAATTTTCCAAAGTACAGTTTATGGATTACAATGGTTTCCCTCCCATAACTTCCCTCCCACCTGTACCCCTCCCATCTCCCGCTTCCTCTCCCATTCCATTCACATCAAGATTCCTTTTCAATTATCTTTATATACAGAAGATCGATTTAGTATATATTAAGTAAAGATTTCATCAGTTTGCACCGACACAGAACCTAAAGTGTAAAATACTGTTTCAGTACTAGTTATAGCATCACTTCACATTGAATAACACATTAAGGACAGAGATCCCACATGAGGAGTAAGTGCACAGTGACTCCTTTTGTTGACTTAACAAATTGACACTCTTGATTATGGCATCAGTTTCCAAGGCTATGGAAGCCTCTTGAGTTTGCTGACTTCAATTTTATTTAGACAAGGCCATAGTCAAATTGGAAGTTCTCTCCTTCCTTTAGAGAAAGGTACCTCCTTCTTTGATGACCTGTTCATTCCACTGGGATCTCACTTGCAGAGATCTTTCATTTAGGTCCTTTTTTTTTTTTTTTTCCCCGCAAGAGTGTCTTGGCTTTCCATGCCTAAAATACTCTCATGGGCTCTTCAGCCAGATCCGAGTGCCTTAAGGGCTGATTCTGAGGCCAGAGTGCTCTTTAGGACATCTGCCATTCTATGAGTCTGCTGTGTATTCTGCTTCTCATGTTGGATCGTTCTCTCCCTTTTTTATTCTATCAGTTAGTATTAGCAGACACTAGTCTTGTTTATTTGATCCCTTTGACTTTTAGACCTATCAGTGTGATCAATTGTGAACAGAAATTGATCACTTGGACTAGTGAGATGGCCTTAGTACATGCAATCTTGATGGGATTGAATTGGAATCCACCGGCACGTTTCTAACTCCACCATTTGGGGCAAGTACAGTTGAGCATGTCCCAAATTGTACATCTCCTCCCTCTCTTATTCCCACTCTTATGTTTAACAGGGATCACTTTTCAGTTAAATTTCAACACCTAAGAATAAATGTGTGTTAATTACAGAGTTCAACCAATAGTATTAAGCAGAATAAAAAAAATACTAAAAGGGATAAAGTATTAAATTGTACATCAACAGTCAGGACAAGGGCTGATCAAGTCACTCCTTCTCATAGTGTCCCTTTCAATTCAACAGGTTTCCTTTTTTGTGGTTGGTTAGCTGTGGCCGATCAGGGAGAACATATGATATTCTTCGCTTCGGGACTGGCTTAATTCACTCAGCATGATGTTTTCCAGATTCCTCCATTTTTTTGCAAATGACCAGGTTTCATTTTTTTTTTTTTAAACAGGCAGAGTGGACAGTGAGAGACAGAGACAGAGAGAAAGGTCTTCCTTTGCCGTTGGTTCACCCTCCAATGGCCGCCGTGGCCGGCGCCCTGCAGCCGGCGCACTGCGCTGATCCGATGGCAGGAGCCAGGAGCCAGGTGCTTTTCCTGGTCTCCCATGGGGTGCAGGGCCCAAGCACCTGGGCCATCCTCCACTGCACTCCCTGGCCACAGCAGAGAGCTGGCCTGGAAGAGGGGCAACTGGGACAGAATCCGGCGCCCTGACCGGGACTAGAACCTGGTGTGCCAGCGCCGCTAGGGGGAGGATTAGCCTAGTGAGCCGCGGGGCCGGCCTCATTGTTTTTACTGCTGTATAGTATTCTATAGCTACTTGTCCCACAATTTCTTTATCCAGTCTACTGTTGATGGGCATTTGGGTTGATTCCAGGTCTTAGCTATTGTGAATTGAACTGCAATAAACTTTAATGTGCAGACAGCTTTTTTGTTTGCCAATTTAATATCCTTTGGGTAAATTCCAAGGTGTGGGATGGCTGGGTTGTATGGTAGGGTTATATTCAGATTTCTGAGGAATCTCCAGACTGACTTCCATAGTGGCTTAACCAGTTTGCATTCCCACCAACAGTGGGTTAGTGTCCCTTTTTCCCCACATCCTCGGCAGCATCTGTTGTTGGTAGATTTCTGTATGTGAGCCATTCTAACTGGGGTGAGGTGAAACCTCATTGTGGTTTTGATTTGCATTTCCCTGATTGCTAGTGACCTTGAACATTTTTTCATGTGCCTGTTGGCCATTTGGATTTCCTCTTTTGAAAAATGTCTATTGAGGTCCTTGGCCCATCTCTCAAGTGGGTTGTTTGTTTTTTTGTTGTGGAGTTTCTTGACCTCATTGTAGATTCTGGTTATTAATCCTATATCTGTAGCATAGTTTGCAAATATATTTTCCCATTCTGTCGGTTGCCTCTTCACTTTCTTGACTGTTTGTTTTGCAGTACAAAAACTTCTCAGTTTGATGCAATCCAAATAGTTTATTCTGGCTTTGACTGCCTGTGCTTTTGAGGTCTTTTCCAAGAAGTCTTTTCCAGTGCCGATATCTTGCAGGGTCTCTCCAATGTTCTCTTATAACTTGATGGTGTCGGGTCATAGATTTAGGTCTTTAATGCATGTTGAGTGGATTTTTGTGTAAGGTGTAAGATAGGGGTCTTGCTTCATGCTTCTGCACATGGAAATCCAGTTTCCCCAGCACCATTTATTGAATAGACTGTCCTTACTCCAGGAATTGGTTTTATTTTATTATTTTTTTAAGGAGAAGGGTTTATTGGGGAACACCTTACAGACCGAGTGAAGGGGCGGCAAAGGAAAAAGAGAGAAGGAGACTGTGAGAGAGAGAGACAGAGGAGGGAGAAGAGAGAGGAGAGAAGCCAAGAGAGGCCAAGAGAGTGCAGGAGAGAAGGAGCCAAGAGCCCAGAGGAGGAGGCTGGAGAGAGGAACCGAGAGAGAGCCAGATAGAAGGGCCAAGAGAGCACGTGTTCAGGAACAGGCCCTTTTAAAACTTTGCCTGAGGGTGGGCAGGGAAGCAGGAGCAGCCAATCCCATTAGGATGGGGGTGGAGCCTGGCTCAGGTAGCTGGGCCATGCAGCCACCTGGCTAAAACTGCGCCAGTTTCCTAACATTCCCCTCTTTTGTTTTTTTATAAAGCAAGGTTTGTATGGGATTACATTAGTCCCAAAAGTCCAAGAGGGGTAGAGGGACGATGATCTGTCTTTAGAGCTACTTCCTGCTGACATGGGGCAATGTCTCAGGCCGCTGTCTCCTGGGTGGGGAGCCGAGTATATCCCTGTAGCAGCATTTGGTTGACTGCCTGGTTGCTGAAGGCCTTCGTTTGTTCCATTATCACCTGCTGTAAACACTTAGACATTCTTAGTATAGAAGACAGGGTGAGAGTAGTAACCAATGATCCTAAGAGTAGCATTAACCAGGTAAGAGGATTTTATAGAGAGGAAATGGAGGGGGTCTCTGGACCCTTGTGAGGACAGTTTGATGGATGTTGCTTAAAGCTGATTCCAGCAAGACTGGGAGAAAGGCCACTAACTTTTGCAGGTAGTGGGGTTTGTCTGTAGAGAAATTCTGAACAGTCATACAACACTAAGTGGGGAAGAGGACCATCAGTACACACAGGTTGGGAGTAGAGCCATTGGTGGTAGAGTAGAGGCTATGGTTACAAAGGAATGAGGCTCAAGTGGGCTAGATACAGAGGACAGAGTTGTTATTAGAGAACCTAAGAAAGGTGCTGTCTAAGCTAAAAATAAGTTTTCTGATTGAGAGGCAAATAGAACCTGACAGAAGGGGCTTGAAAATAATCGGGTGGGCTTTAAAGCCTTGTAAATTGTGAGGCTTAGACTCATCTATCTCTTCATATAGCCTACACCCTAAGGGAGGTGTGATCCTCCTTGGGGAAGGCACCCTGTTGATTTGCATTACCTAGCTGGCCTGGGAGGAGAGCTGGCCAGGTAAAGCAAGTGGCAACTCCAACAGGAAATATACAGTTCTGCCTGCAATGTTACTGACCCTATTTGGCCAATTCCTCAGTTGCAGTGGTCACTTTGAAAGCTGGGCTGAGTGAAGGGCTTTTCCGCTTAGAGCCAATATGATCTGTGGCTCTGACCTGGACATCCTTCGACTCCAGGGCAGGTCCATTTCCAGTGACCCAACTCTTGGCTTGCAGAGCTCCCAGGGCTCTTCATAAACTGACTTCTGCTGAAGCCCAGGCTTTCCACACTGAAAGCCACTGCAGTGGACTGGCCTGTTGGGTCTCCTTGAGGGCAGACCACTGTACAGAGCAGCCATTAACAGGCCTGCCACCCATTGCTTCTGATGCCTAGCTTTTTTTTTTTTTCCTCCTGGTTTTTGTTAAAGCAGACCAGAGGATGCAAGTCAAGGGGGTGCTCAAGTCCCATCTCTAATCTTCAGTGGCCTAAACTAGAAGTTGGTAGTCACAGGCATGTTCTGTAGTAGTTTATGTTGAGACAGAGAATGCCCATGAGGAAAACTATATTCTCACTTTAAAACTTTCTTTCCCTTTCTTCTGAAAGGGAGGCTTTCCTGTTTACTGTTTACCTCGCTGATGGCGAAGTAAATCTAGCTAAGAAATTATAATTTAAGCTCTTATTTTGGCTATGCTATTACAGAAATGTGTTAGCCATCTCTTTTTATAAGATCTAAAATCAAATTTTGAATCTTGGAGATTCCTTCATAATAGAATTAGTTTCCTACCTCGAAGAGAATAGAGAAACGAGAGAACAAGTTGGGCTTAGACTAGAGAAATAGGGATGCCAGTCTCAGATCGCTTACTGACAATAGCAATGTCACATGAAAACTTAGAAAGCAGTTTTAACCATTAGATAACAACTTAAGAAAACATTTACCAGAAGGCCCAATGCCTTCCATAAATATTAATACATATATTTGGAAGCATCTCTTAAATATCTAACATGATGTAACTTGTTTAACCAGCAAATTTCAGCACAAGCATATAAAATGTTTTTAGTTTCTTTCTATCAACAAGTTTAAAACATATGATACAGAGATTCAGGTCACATGAATTAAAATATATCTTTGAATTATTTTAGCTGTTTAAATTTATGGACAATCTTATCTATAAGCTAATTAAAATAAAATTCTTAGTAAATTTTCCCATGCAGACATACAATATGTATACACATACAACATGACAGATAGAACAATAAAGCAGTTTTAATAGCTTTTTTAAAAAATCTAATTGCTTTTGTAAATTACCAATTGATTTGAATTACTTTTTGTTTTAGTAACCTCAGCCAACCATACTTTCTCACAGTTGGTACCTTTAATATATTATTGGCTTCATCTGTTTACAGAGTCATCCCAAAGTACTGAATACAATACATGTGGCTGGAAAAAGTTCATCAGAACCTATAAGAAGACAGCTAAACACAGAACCAACAATGCTTTAGTTTTATGAGCAACAAATCTGATATACCAAACTGTGGATGACAAAAGATTATAAGTTGCCACATTTAATATTATAAACTCATTAACCAATAAGAGGCATTTGCTTACTGCACACAGTATTTCTGAAAGCACCTGTAGGATTTTACAAAGCACGGAACTCTTTTAGGCCTCTGGGGCTTTCTCATTAAGATAACCATTATGTCTAGTAACACAAGATTATTAGACTTTTTAATTCTGACATTTGTATTAGTGCCATTTTATATTATAGAAACTTAAAAGTTAGCACCACTTCACATCTTGACAGTACTTCTAATATAATACAAATAGCCTGATTAATTGGTGTCTCTACAAGATGAGAGACATAAGTCCTTCGATTTTTTCAGTTGGGCCCGAACTGGAAAAACCGAAGTCCAGAATTTACTGGAAATTTCAGAGTCCAAATTATTTGAAACTTTGATTTTTTGAATGCCTGTCAAGAATGTCAAGAAGGCTCAAAATCCAAAATATCTGGTTGAAGTAAGATTCTTTAACATCATAACATAATATAGACCAAATTTGATCATTGTTACAAGGTAATTATTTAAATGTTTGAAAATAAGCACATATTTAAATAACCCATAGCTCTTAATAAAAATTCAGCTGTTTTTAAACAATTAGAATTTAACAGACATTAAGAGAATATAATAGATTACTTTAGCACATTGCTTTAACAGAGGGATCAGATTTCAATTTTATGTTAAAGAGGAATAGATTAGTATACTTGTGATGTTTTCCATCTGCCAATGTCCTTGATTTACATTTTGAGATAAACTGTTAAAAATCTTCAAATTAAGATTAAGGTAATGCATCAAGTTTTAGCCTGAGTTACTTTAAACAGTGTTGAACTATTTTCATAGACAGTTTGTAAGCTAACCCAAATAGTTTTTTATAGACTATAATATGTTGAGTATACAAAAGTTTTACCCAATTTAAATTAGCAGTTACACTTAAATGACTTAGGATGCTGATATATTTTTATCTGAATTAAATTGAAATTAAAATTGCATTCATCTAAAACAAGTGCTAATTACCCATTGCTGTTTCATTGAGTACTGATTACCCAGAAACCTGTCAAAATAAATTGCAAAATAAGTTCAGCATTTTACAAAGCAGTATTTTTAAAGGTAGATCTAGGTAGATCTTCCTAGATTCAAAGAAAAATTAGTTACAGTGGGCCAGGTCCATGCAGGAAACCTGCTTTGCCTGTTTTCCTTGCTCAAGATAAAACAAGAGCCTTCAAAAGGGTGGGATACCTAATTTGTTTCTCAATCAGCAGGGAGCCCAAAAGGATGGGACTACCATTCCCTTGCTATTCTTATGGTAAGACTGGGACAGGAGAGGGACAAAAGACCAGTTGAAAACCATGAAGACAGCCATTCCCAAACTGATAAGACAGAGATAGTAGACTTTGGGCTCTGAGATAAAGAATTCCTAGGTGGGAGGGGGAGATACAGTGAGTGGGGATAGGAGCTAGGGAGGAAGTCATCTGCAGGATCAAAGGAAGCTGTGGTAGTGGCAGAAACAGGATGGGGCAGAAGAAAGGATTTTTTGCTCAGGCCTCTGACCCCTAGTGCAAATCTTGGAGACCAGAAGGACCTGAGTGGGAGAGCAAGAAGTACACAGGGAAGGTTTAGTTCGAAGATAGGAAAAGGCTTGAACATATGGAATCTCCTTCCATTTTCCCGACCGCTCATGGAAGTGATAAGATGTTATCAGGGTCAAACTACTCCGACTTCTGATCCCTCAGGGCCAAATGCGCCACCATGGAGGGGCCACTTTTTGAGGGCTGGGGCCAATTTGAGAGGGACCATCAGACGGAACGCGGTTAGAGAAGAGTTCCCATTGTGACCTGTAGAGTCAGATCCGTGGATTGCAAGCGTCCTTGCATTCCCGCTATCTGACTAATGAAAGAATGTGGGAACAGAAGGCGGGGTCGTCACCCAAGTGCCCGCTGGAGCCCAGGGCCTCGCCTGTAAAGAGGCGAACAGAGATGGAGTCGTCACTCGCACCCACTGTTGCCTGGACACAGTGTCCGTAGAGGCTAAAGGCCTTAAGTAGAAGTAGGAGTGGTGGCTAGAGTCCAGTGCTACGACCTTTATGAGAGTAGTCAGGCGAGTATCCGACAGTAGACCACCACTCAAATAGAAGTCGCCGTGAGGGATTTTCATTCCATGTCTTACCTCAAAATTTGGAAGGCCGATGTGTGGATGGAGATCGCAGAGCGTTCAGTGGCTTGGAAAGAGTTCCAGAGGTGTGCTTTGTGACCGGCAGAAATCCAGGACCCCAGAGCACTGGGGGACACTGGATTACCAATATGAGGCTATCCGAGTCACGGCACCAATGTTATATCTTAATATTAGCTGTCGCAAAGCACACCGGACACCGGAGTAAGGGAAAGGGTTTATTGGGGAACACCCTACAGACCGGAGTGAAGGGGCAGCAAAGGAAAAAGAGAGAAGGAGACTGTGAGAGAGAGACAGAGGAGGGATAAGAGAGAGGAGAGAAGCCAGGAGAGGCCAAGAGAGCGCAGGAGAGAAGGACTGAGAGAGCAGGGAGCAGAGCCAAGAGCCAAGAGCCCAGAGGAGGAGGCTAGAGAGAGAAACTGAGAGCGATCAGGAGAGAAGGGCCAAGAGCCAGGAATTGGTTTTAGATCCTTGATCAAATATAAGTTGGCTTTAGATGTTTGGATTGATTTCTGGTGTTTCTATTCTGTTCCATTGGTCTATCCATCTGTTTCTGTACCAGTACCATGCTGTTTTGATTACAACTGCCCTGTAGTATGTCCTGAAATCTGGTATTGTGATGCCTCCAGCTTTGTTTGTATTGTACAAGATTGCTTTAGCTATTCCAGGTCTCTTGTGTCTCCATATGAATTTCAGCATCATTTTTTCTAGATCTGTGATGAATGTCTTTGGTATCTTGATTGGTATCACATTGAATCTATAAATTGCTTTTGGGAGAATGGACATTTTGATGATGTTGATTCTTCCAATCCTTGAGCATGGAAGGTTTTTCCATTTTTTGGTATCCTCTTCTATTTCTTTAAGGTTTTGTAATTCTCATTGTAGAGATCTTTAACGTCCTTGGTTAAGTTTATTCCAAGGTATTTGATTGTTTTTGTGGCTATTGTGAATGGGATGGATCTTAGCAGTTCTTTCTCAGCTGTGGCATTGCCTGTGTATACAAAGGCTGTTGATTTTTGTGCATTGATTTTTATATCCTGCTACTTTGCCAAGCTATTCCATAGTTCCAATAGTCTCTTAGTAGAGTTCTTTGGGTCCCCTAAGTAAAGAGTCATATCATCTGCAAAGAGGGATAGTTTGAGTTCTTCCTTCCCAATTTGTATTCCTTTAATTTCTTTTTCTTGCCTGATGGCTCTGCTTTTTCAAAATAGTTCTACAGCCTGTGTATACACTCTAACATCAGTGCACTTTGGTCTTTCTTTTGGCACTTTATTTACAAGGAATTATAGTGTTTGTAGTCTTGGGTATCTTTCATGTTTCTCTCAGCAAAACTTCTAAGAATATAACCCTGGCCACCCCATCAGCCTGCTCTCAGGGTTTTTTAATTGTCCTCTTCCCTTCAGGCTTCCCTCTGGGCTCCACCATAGAATCTGAAACCAAGGGCATCTGGATGTGGTGCGTGCCCCACCCCTCCAAGCCAAACCACACCCTGGTCCTCCTGGACACTGAGGGCCTGGGCGATGTGGAAAAGGTAAGCCAGACAATGTTCTCTGCCCTCAACTGTGCTCTTACAGTTTAACTGGCACATCACTTCACTTTCTCTGACACATTTCTCTAAACTGCAAATCCAACAATGAGCCAGGAAGTTAAAAATCTGTTTCTTCAGACTACCTTAGTAGCCTCAAGCACTTTGATATGTGATGAAGAGAGATGTGGAAAAGGTAAGGTCCAGAATGTTCTCTACTCTCACCTGTGCTCTTACATTTTAATTTGCCATATCACTTCACTTTTTCTGACATATTTCTCTTAAATGCAAATCCAATAATGAGCAAAGAGGTGAAATTGTTTCTTCAAACTTCCTTAGTAACCTCAAACACTTTGATATATGATGAAAAGAGATTCTTCTTACTTTTAATGCTGGAGTAATCATTTAATTTAATGAATACAAATGAGCAAGTCAGTTCCAGGACTCTGCACTAAGTACTAAAGATAAAACTGTAAATAAAGTAATGGGTCAAGCCTAGTTATAGAGACTACAACACAATACACACAGAGTAGCACCAGTGCAAAAAGTGGGAAACCAATCTAATCATTTGAGTTAGCAAGAGCTTCCTGAGAAAGTTCTATTCCATTAGATCAATTGAATCTACAAAAAATGGGAGGTTGATTGAGTTGGAGGTAGCGACTTTGAAAATATGGTTTCTGTGAAGAAATCTGTTTAAATCATCTTTAGAAAAGCTTCTGTTTATTATTAGATTTTTAATCCAACTCTCCGAGCTTTGATGATCAATTCTTAACTAATTTCTTTGAAACCATGAACTGTACCCTCCCCCAACAAAAAATCATGTATTGGGTGATTTTAAGCATTTTGTCTTCATAGTATTAGGTACAATCATTATTTTTATTTATTTATGAGTCTCAGTCTAAATTACAAGAAGCAGCAATAGATCTTTGGCTTTTCTTATGATGGGAGAAAGCACCAACTTAGAAATTGATTTTAAAAATTCAGTTTTAAACTATTGATCTTTATGTAATTATAACCAATATGGTCTATTGATTTTTAATAAATAATACTTTCCATAAACCTATTCATGTAATTTAATTTGTTAAAGGATCAAAGCAAAACAAAATATAAAGTGGTGCAAAAGATACTACTGGCAGACCTTGTGACTCATACTGTGATAGGGTAATGCTTTCTACGTCTTGACAGGAATCTCATTTCCAGCCTCCCCTCCCATTCCAGCCTGTGTACTCAGCACTTCCATCAAGTGGGATAATTTTGTAATGCCTTTATGTGACTATGAGCTGAAAGTTCCAACTTAGCCTCTGTTAGTTCTTTGCCTGCTGGATCCCTTCATCTTTACAAACCCTTTTTCTATCTATGAACTCTTCAAATCTCAGCTATTTTCTATTTACTGCCATCATATCCCAGTCACACAGAATCCCTACTCATTCTGAATTCACAGTAATTATTCACATCCATAGGCCTCCGTATCTTCACCTTTGTTTTGTTGTTTGGTCTCGGACAACTTTGGATTCCACTCATGGGGAGGATTATCATTTTGGTTACATTTATATAGTGACATGTATTTGCTCTATAACATCATATTCTGGAGGTAAAAATTGTCATATGGAACTTCATAAGCACAAAACAAATGCAGGCTCTATGCTGGTGAATAGTTGTTGAACTTATTGCATAGGATTTGTGTCCATGTTATATTAATCATTAAGAATAAAGTTTACAGTGAGATACTTCTATACTTACTAGTAGACACCTGTGTTTAAGCACTTTATTAAATACTTGGACAGTAACAGTGTCATTCAGTTATTTGAATATCTATACAGAGTGTGGTCCTAATATATCAAGACTGCATTTCATTTTTGAATTATATTTGAAATTTGTTATTTACCCTAATATTCAGTTATAATATACCCAAAGTGTGAACAAGCAGCCAAATGAATGACAGATGAGTAAATGAAGAGTAGATGTGTAAGTCCCTTGTTCTAATGGACTTCCCAGGGAGACCCTAAGAATGACTCCTGGATCTTTGCCCTGGCCGTGCTTCTGAGCAGCGCCTTTGTCTACAACAGCCTGGGCACCATCAACCACCAGGCCCTGGAGCAGCTGTAGTATCCTTCCAGAAATGGAACTTCCATATTTCACTGAGCTTAGGAGAATGGCAGTTGAGACTATTTCTTCTTTATGTAACTAAATTTTCCTGGGTCATTAAGAGTGGACACAGGGAAAAGGGGAGTGTTTTTCTGAGTTGTTTCTAAGTGAGATGTAGAATTTGTGGTGTAGTTTTTTTTTTTTTTTCCTTAACTGAGATTTCAGCTTTGTTACTGAACTCACAGAGTTAATCAGGGCAAGATCTTCTCCCCCATCTGATGAGGTAGAGGACTCCGCAGAGTTTGTGAGTTTCTTTCCAGACTTTGTTTGGGCTGTGCGGGATTTCACCCTGGAACTGAACTTGAAAGGACAGCCCATCACAGAAGACGAGTACCTTGAGAATGCCTTGAAGCTGATTCCAGGTATCAGAGTGTGCTCTGGGGATGGCTGATTTAGTTACAAGGTGGGGTCAAGCAGGACTGTCCAATGGCACTTGAAATATTTTTTTTTTTTCTGAGACTGGATTGAAGCCCAAGCTAATGATGACTGGTGACTGATGGATGGGCATGATTTTAAAAATTATTATTGAAAATTTTTAGAGGATGAGATTTAAACTCAATGAGGAAATTTTAAGTTCAATGTTGCATCAGCAAATTTTGTCCAATCAGTAAAATTAAAAAAGTGAGAACTGCAATAAGTGCTTTTACTTCTAAGACTCATCTATCTGTGATACCTAGTAAGTTCAAGCATTTCTCTTACTCTATTCTGAGAAATATAGATCAACCTGGGAGTTATTAAACACGGAATCACTATGTAATCAAATGAATCCAATGACCTATTTCTTGAAAAGAACTTTCACTAGCTATGTTTTAGTACTGTTGAATGCTGGATCATTCATAGATGCATGGTTTTATCTTCAATAGTACAGGGAAGAAATATTGCTATGTGCCTACACTGATACAGTCATTTTTTCTTATTCATAACACCAACTTCTTCATCCTTAGGCAATGTTTGTTCAGTTTAGTATTATCAATTTATTACACAGATTGTATTTAGAAGAGTAGAGAAGTAATAGCATTTAGAGGGACTATCCCCTTATTTCCTTCTTATTGATGCTTTTAATAGCTATTTATTTTGAACAAAATATATGCCACAGAATCCCTCTTCAGTGTCTGTCTATTCTAATACAAGCTGACTTTGAGAGTTAGTGTGGTCTCCAAATTTTATTGAGATTAGCTTTACATTGAAGGTTACTGCTAAAGTAGGCTACAAAATAATAAATGGTGCAGATTATTTTTGGTCATGTTTATGAATCATTTTTCACTATTGACCTGAATGTTTTCTGCTCTCATGCTGTTTTAAAATCATCACATCCTTATTTCCAGCATTACTTTAAAGTTCTTGTTTCTTTTCTGACATGAAACTGCATGTAGAAATATGTGTCTGAAATAAGTGTCTGAAAATATTTGTTAATTGATTCTCCAAAATCTTTTGAAAATTGTCTCTCTACCCAACAAAACACAAGAAAAAAAGGATCCGTGCTATGTTTTCTCTGTTGAAGTGGATACCTTCCATTCCACTACAGAGTAATTCCCTTGAGTCTCAGCTCTGTGTAAAAAGGATTCTCCACACTTTGTGTATATTGGCATGACTACTTTGCACATTTGGATAAAGGACAATTTACAGACATGGGAGCTGCCATATCACAGAGATTCCTGGAAGTCCTTAGCCCTTTGTTTGCTGTCTCTTCAATGAATGATCTTTTTTATAATTTCACAGAAACGAATGCCAGAATCCAAAATTCCAACAAGCCTAGAAAATGTATCAGGTATTTCTTTCCAGAACGGAAGTGCTTTGTCTTTGACTGGCCCACAAATGATAAAAATGTCTTGGTCCATATGGACAAAGTGCCAGAAGACCAACTAGAATTGAATTTCAAGGTGCAGTCAGAAAAATTCTGCTCCTATATCTTCACACATGGGAAGACCAAGACCCTGAGACAGGGAATCATTGTCACTGGAAATCGTGAGTTTCCTCTGTGTCAAACACGACTTTCTCTAGATCAGTGTGTGTGATGAAGCTGTGATTCTACTGTGGGCTTGTCGATCATTTCATTTGCTTCTGTATAGGAATATAGAGAAGGAGATGCTCCTAGCACACCTGCAAATGATGTTGCTTAGTTAAGTTTTCTCTATGTTGGGAATTACTGAGGCCTCAATTATCTCATGAAGTGAATCTAAATATGATACAACACAAAATTCTATTAATGGGGCAATCTGCAAGTGAGAAAGCCTATAGAAAATCAGTTTTTCAGTGAGGAAGCCTAAAATATTGTCGAAATTAATACCAGTCAGAACATAAACAATAGTCCATGAATCCAATGCAACCTCATCAAGATATTGGTAATAAAAATTAAACCTATGCCTACAGACAGGGTCGGTTTCATGGACATATAACCATAGTCTCCTGCTAATATGAGCTCATGCTTAGTTGAACATGTTGTGTATCTGGTCCCAAACACCAGAGGATGTATTTAATAAGTGGACTAGCATTTTATTTGGAATGAAGACACATCAGGTACATGATTTTCATAGTTTAATAAAATTTTACTTAATTTAAATGGAAAAGAATTTTTCTAGGAAGCTCTGAATGATATCCCTTAAAATCAATGATTTAATTTTGAATTTTGATGATTTTGAGAACCATAATAGAAAGGGTGAATACATCATTCTTTCCCTTTTTTATTCTATCAGCTAGCATTTGCAGACACTAGTCTTGTTTATTTGATCCCTTTGGTTCTTAGTCCTATCATTATGATCAATTATGAACAGAAACTGATTACTTTGACTAGTGAGATGGCATTGGTACATGCCACCTTGATGGGATTGAATTGGAATCCCCTGGTATGTTTCTAACTCTACCGTTTGAGGTAAGCCAGCTTGAGCATGTCCCGCATTGCACATCTCTTCCCTCTCTTATTCCCACTCTTATATTTAACAGTGATCACTTTTCAGCTAAGTTTCAGCACTTAAGAAGAATTGTGTATTGATTACAGTATTCAACCAATAGTATTAAGTAGAACAAACAAAAAAAATACTAAGAGGGATAACATATCAAGTTGCTCATCAACAGTCAGGGTGAGGGCTGATCAAGTCACCGTTTCTCATAGTGTTCATTTCACTTTAACAGGTTTCCTTTTTGGTGCTCAGTTAGTTGTCACCTATCAAGGAGAACGGTGGAGAGAATGATCCAACATGGGAAGTGAGATACACAGCAGACCCATAGAATGGCAGATGTCCTAAAGAGCACTCTGGCCTCATAATCAGCCCTTAAGGCATGCGGATCCGGCTGAAAAGCCCATGAGAGTATTTCAGGCATGGAAAGCCAAGACACTCTGGGGGGAAAAAAAAAACCTAAATGAAAGATCTCCATGAGTGAGATCCCAGTGGAAAGAACGGGTCATCAAACAAGGAGGTACCTTTCTCTGAAGGGAGGAGAGATCTTCCACTTTGACCATGGCCTTGTCTAAAAATTATCAGAGTCAGTGAACTCAGGGGGCTTCCATAGCCTTGGCAGCTCATGACAAAAGCCTAGGGTGATTACTGATGCCATAAACAAGAGTGTCAATTTGTTAAGTCGACAACAGGAGTCACTGTGCACTTACTCCTCATGTAGGATCTTTGTCCTTAGTATGCTGTACATTGAGATTTAATGCTATAACTAGTACTCAAACAGTATTTTTCACTTTGTGTTTCTATGTGGGAGCAAACTGTTGAAATCTTTACTTAATGTATTCTAAACTGATCTTCTGTATATAAAGAGAATCAAAAATTAATCTTGATGTGAATGGAAGGGGAGAGGGAGTGGTAAAGGGGAGGATTGCGGGTGGGAGGGACGTTAGGTGGGAAGCCATTGTAATCCATAAGCTGTACTTTGGAAATTTATATTCATTAAATAAAAGTTAAAAAAAAAGAAAGGGTGAATAGAAACAAGAACCATGTTGTAATACAGAGAAGGATTTGGAGAGCAAGATGGGAAAGGAAGAATAGAAGGAAAAGCCAGAGGGGGATAGCGAGAAGAAAAGGAGGAGGAAGGGAAGGAGGAGGAGCAGGAAAAGAACACTTCAAGATAAGTAGAATGGATTTGATGTTTGGGATGCTGATTCATAAATCCTGTGAAAACAATGAATGTGAACTATGTATTTATTCCCTCAACATTATGCGTTCGTCAGGGCTGGGCAGTCTGGTGGAGATGTACGTAGACACCATCAACAGCGGAGCTGTCCCTTGCTTGGAGAACGCAGTGACGACTCTGGCCCAGCGTGAGAATGCTGCAGCCGTGCAGAAGGCAGCCGAGCACTACAGCAGGCAGATGGCCCAGCGACTGGTGCTCCCCACAGACACGCTCCAGGAGCTGCTGGACGTGCACGCAGCCTGTGAGAGGGAAGCCGTTGAAATCTTCATGGAGCACTCCTTCAAGGATGATACCGGGGAATTCCAGAAGAACCTTTTGGTAAACATCTGACCATCTATCCTTGCCAGCGACAGCCTTTCTGGATGACACCTAAAGTCTATCTTTTCACCCTGTGATCATCCCCCTACCATAGTAGAAGGCATCCTGATTCTTGAGAATGAAAGAGCTCTATGGACTACAGGTCACCCTTTTTTTTAAAAAGACAGACACTTAATTATTTGGTACAGCAAAATGAATTATCATGAGTTTAGCAGCTGAAAACAGTGCACATTAAATCATGCAGTTCCGTTTGCAGCTATATATGTCAGGGTGACTGGGTGCACTGCTCAGTGTAGACAGACTGAAAGAAGGTGTCAGATGGGCTTGGTCCTATAATGAATTTCTAAGGGAACCCCTGTATCTTTAAATATCTTTAAAGTTTGCACCAGAGCCTTCTCGTTTCTAATTTCTCTGGTTTCCTTTTCTGACACCAACTAGAGAAAAATACTTTTAAGGCATCCTGTGATTAGATAATGACGTTCCTTTGATTGTAAAGTCAACTTTAGCTATATATCATGATCCAATCATAAGAGTAACAGATATCATATTCTCAACCCAGTGAATATGAGGAATGTGGATACTAAGAGGAGAGAAGTCTTATGAAAAATCTTAATTCTATTGACTGCAGTCACCTTCATTAAAATTTTATCTTTCTATCCATCTAGGCCTAAAGTAAAAATGCAAAAGAGTCTCTCAATTTGTATTGAGGAAACCCAGTTGGATTGAAACTTAACTGAAAAGTGATCACTGTTAAATATAAGAGTGGGAATAAGAGAGGGAAGAGATGTGCAATGCGGGACATGCTCAAGCTGGCTTACCTCAAACGGTAGAGTTAGAAACATACCAGGGGATTCCAATTCAATCCCATCAAGGTGGCATGTACCAATGCCATCTCACTAGTCCCAGTGATCAGTTTCTGTTCATAATTGATCATAATGATAGGACTAAGAACCAAAGGAATCACATAAAAAAAGAATAGTGTCTGCAAATACTAGCTGATAGAATAAAAAAGGGAGAGAATGATCCAACATGGGAAGTGAGATACACAGCAGACCCATAGAATGGCAGATGTCCTAATAGCACTCTGGCCTCATAATCAGCCCTTAAGGCATGCGGATCCGGCTGAAAAGCCCATGAGAGTATTTCAGGCATGGAAAGCCAAGACACTCTGGGGGAAAAAAAAAAAAAAACCTAAATGAAAGATCTCCATGAGTGAGATCCCAGTGGAAAGAACGGGTCATCAAAGAAGGAGGTACCTTTCTCTGAAGGGAGGAGAGATCTTCCACTTTGACCATGGCCTTGTCTAAATATGATCAGAGTCAGTGAACTCAGGGGGCTTCTATAGCCTTGGCAGCTCATGACAAGAGCCTAGGGTGATTACCGATGCCATAACCAAGAGTGTCAATTTGTTAAGTCGACAACAGGAGTCACTGTGCACTAACTCCTCATGTAGGATCTTTGTCCTTAGTGTGCTGTACATTGAGATTTAATGCTATAACTAGTACTCAAACAGTATTTTTCACTTTGTGTTTCTATGTGGGAGCAAACTGTTGAAATCTTTACTTAATGTATTCTAAACTGATCTTCTGTATATAAAGAGAATCGAAAATGAATCTTGATGTGAATGGAAAGGGAGAGGGTGTGGTAAAGGGGAGGATTGCGGGTTGGAGGGATGTTATGGGGAGAAGCCATGGTAATCTATAAGCTGTACTTTGGAAATTTATATTAATTAAATAAAAGTTTAAAAAAAGGGAAAAAAGTAACTTTCAAATACAAACAAAAAACTCTTTTCTTATATATTCATGAATTCAAGCCATCATCGAAAGCATTCATAAAGGGTTCAAAAGTTGGTTCAAAATACACCTAAACAATTAGTGAGATATTATTGCATGTATTCCTATAAACTCCTATAAATTTCTGTCTATAGCAATCCATATGCTCTGAGGAAATTTTAATTGCAGTCAAAATTCACCTTTCTGTTGTTAGTCTTGGTGACCAGGCCACTGTTAATCTTATTATTTATTAAAGGACCACAGAGTTCAGGGCTTCTGACCCTCATTTACAGATATTGAGCCTGGGCCTCTCCCCCATGAGAAATACGTGGCTTTGCAAAGGTGAAACAGGCAATGACCAGAAGTAACAGTGAAGTAAGTCTCCTGACTGCAGGTCCACTCTTTGTTCTGGTCCACTCTGAGGCCGTCCAAATCCTCCTGCCACGTGTATCACAGGTGGACCTTCCCTGCTACTCATTCCTTTCTAATGTGTGAACCTACGTTTCCCTGGCAGGAAACCACAGAGCAGAAAAAGGAAGACTTCCTGCTGCAGAATGAAGAGGCCTCTGTCAAATACTGCCAGGCTGAGCTTACACGGCTCTCAGCGTCCCTGATGGAAAGTATTTCAAGAGGGGTTTTCTCTGCGCCTGAAGGCCACCGTCTCTACTTAGAAGCAAGAAAAAGGATTGAAGAGGAGTATGAGCTGGTGCCCAGGAAGGGAGTGAAGGTGAGGAATAGGGGGGAGAGTTGGTCAACAAAGTAGAGTTGTGGGATCTTTGGTGCTTGTTTTGAAAATGAGGAGCACAGCACCACGGCGGAGGGAAACATTTGCTATGTTCTGGATATTAGTCCTCCAGGGTTGATGTTTCTGAGACATCGTCCTCACCCTCTCTGTGGCCACGTGAGAGTTGATGAGAACTTTGGGAGATGGAGCCAAATGGGAGGATGTTAGTTCATTAGGGGCTGCCTTTAGAGGAGATTATAGTCGTAGTTCCCATGGGACCTTGAGTTGATTCTGAGATGGATATTTTATAGAAACCAGGGCTGATCCTTGAATGACTCTCTGGCAACCTAATATCTTCATTCTACACATTCTAGTTTGATGCTGTCTTCTGTGAGAGTCAGAGCCATGTTGGTCAGAGCCATGCTCAAGCTGGTGATGTGTCCTTGAACCTTCAGACTGTGAGCTAAATACACCTCTGTAAATCAACCCATTTCAAGGATTTCATTAGAATCATGGAAAACAGGCTAATGCTGCCATTTTTAAAAAAATACTATTTTAAGATCCATATATAAGCCGGCACCGCGGATCACTAGGCTAATCCTCCGCCTTGTGGCGCTGACACACCAGGTTCTAGTCCCGGTTGGGGCGCCGGATTCTGTCCCGGTTGCCCCTCTTCCAGGCCAGCTCTCTGCTGTGGCCAGGGAGTGCAGTGGAGGATGGCCCAGGTGCTTGGTCCCTGCACCCCATGGGAGACCAGGATAGGTCCCTGGCTCCTGCCATCGGATCAGCGCGGTGCGCCGGCCACAGCGCGCCGGCCGCGCCGGCCATTGGAGGGTGAACCAACAGCAAAGGAAGACCTTTCTCTCTGTCTCTCTCTCTCAGTGTGCACTCTGCCTGTCAAAAAAAAAATCCATATATAGTTATATATTCCTACGTAACCTAGAAATATTTTTTTCCCAGAGAGAAGCTCGAATCAGAAATCCAGTTGTGAGAACCATTTCTTTGCTTAGTTTTCTTTCTTTTTTTCTCAAACAAAGGATAGTCTTCGTGTTTAGTGAAGAAAACTATTTTCAAAATGATTATGATCTCATCTGGGGTGGACAAATTCATACTAAGTGGACATGCCGTGGATCTGGTTATGCTAGTGGTGTGCACTGATAGTAATAATGATGATGATGACGACCTTCATGACATTCACTCCCTATACCAAGTATAGTTTTATGTTATTTTATTAGATTATCAGTTTAATTCCCAGAATACTATAAATCAGGTACTAACATCATCCCTATTATACAGGTATTGAACAACATGCACAGAAAAACTAACAATTTGCCTTCTGTTAACCCACACAGCAAGCAGCCCAGTTGACAAGGCTGGTCTATCTACTTGGCCACTAGAAACTCAATTTTTTTTTCTTTTTTGGGATCTTCATTCTGTTTCTGTAATGATTGTACCAGTTTATGTTCCCCCAACAGTTGTGTAAGGGTTCCCCTTTCTCTACATTATTAATATTTCCTAAATTTTGAATCATAAATCATAGCCATTTTTTAAAAAAGTGTAGATTTATTTATTTTTTGACAGGCAGAGTGGACAGTGAGAGAGAGAGCAGAGAGAAAGGTCTTCCTTTGCTGTTGGTTCACCCTCCAATGGCCGCCATGGCTGGTGCGCAGCGGCCAGCGCACCGCGCTGATCCGATGGCAGGAGCCAGGTGCTTCTCCTGGTCTCCCATGGGGTGCAGGGCCCAAGCACTTGGGCCATCCTCCACTGCACTCCCTGGCCACAGCAGAGAGCTGGCCTGGAAGGGGGGCAACCGGGACCGAATCCGGCACCCCGACCAGGACTAGAACCCAGTGTGCTGACGCCGCAAGGCGGAGGATTAGCCTATTGAGCTGCGGTGCCGGCTAGATTTATTTTTATTTATTTGAAAGAATAACAGAGAGAAGGGAGAGTTTGAGAGAAAGAGATCTTTCATCTGCCGGTTAGCTCCCCAACTGCTCACAACAGCCATGGTGATCCTTGCTAAGCCAAGAGCCTGGTATTCCATCTGAATCTCCCTTGTGGATTGCAGGGACCCACGTATTTGGGCCATCTTCTGCTGTTTTTCCAGACACATTAGCATGGAGATAGAATGGAAGCAGACCAACTGGGACGTGAACGGTTGTGCTGATATGGGATGCCAGAGTTGTAAGTGGCGGCCTTACTTACTGCACCAAAACAGTGATCCCAAATAGTAGCCACTCCAACAGGTGTGAACTGATATCTCATTATGGTTTGATGTATTTCCCAAATGATTATTAACATTGAACATGTTTTTATATAGTGGTTAGTCATTTGAGTGTCTCCTTTTGAGAATTGTCTATAAGTGCACTTTGCCCATTTTTAAGTCAGATATTTTGTGTCTTCCTATTGATTTGTAGGACATATTTATATATTTTCAATATCAGCCTCTTATGAGGTATATAGCTTACCATTCCATATATGTCCTTTTCATTTTGCTGATTGTTTCTTTAGATGTGCAAGAACTTTCTAATTTGACATAGTTTCCTTGTTTCTTTTTGCTGTTATTACTTGTGCTTTTAGCAATAAAGGCAAAAAAATCACTGTCAAGGCTACTGTCTAACATCTTTTTTCTTATCTTTTCCTGTAGGAGTATTATGCTTTCCAGTCTTCATTGAAGTCTTCAATCTTTAGTATTTAGCTGATTTTTCAATATGATGTTAAATAAGGGCCAAACTCACTCTTGTATATCCAGTTTTCCCAGCATTTCATGAGGAGACTCTTCTTTACTTAATGTATATTCCTGATCCCTTTATTCAAATTAGTTTACTGTATATGTATGGGATTATTTCCAGGTTCTCTTTTCTGTTCCATGTATCAGGTTTTTTTAGAAAAAATTTTTATTTATTTATTTGAGAGGTAGAGTTACAAACAGTAAGACTGAGAGACAGAGAGAAAGGTCTTCTTTCCTCCTGGTTCACTCCTCAAATGGCTGCAATGGCTGGAGCTGGCTGATTCGGAGCCAGGAGCCAAGAGATTCCTCTGGGTATCCCATGTGAGTGCAGGGACCTCAGCACCTGGGCCATCTTCTACTGCTTTCCCAGGCCATAACAGAGAGCTGGATTGGAAGAGGAGCTGTGGGGACCAGAACCAGCACCCATTTGGTATGCCAGTGCCACAGGTGGAGGATTAACCTACTGCACCACAGCAATGGCTCCCCATGTATCAGTTCTTATGCCAGTATTAAAGCTGCTAGAGGGGCCAGCGCTGTGGCGCAGCTGGTTAACGCCCTGGCCTGAAGTGCCGGCATCCCATATGGACGGTAGTTCAAAACCCGGCTGCTCCACTTCCCATCCAGCTCTCTGCTATGGCCTGGGAAAGCAGTGAAAGATGGCCCAAGTCCTTGGGCCCCTGCACCCACGTGGGAGACCTGGAAGAAGCTCCTGGCTCCTGGCTTCAGATCAACGCAGCTCTAGCCATTGTGGTCAATTGTGGAGTGAACCAGTGAATAGAAGACCTCTCTCTCTCTCTCTCTCTCTCTCTCTGTGTGTGTGTGTGTAACTCTAACTTTCAAATAAATAAATAAATCTTTAAAAAAAAAAGCTGCTGTTGCTTTGTGGTAGACTTGGAATTCATGTGGGGGATGCCTGAAGTTTTGCTTTTGTTGTTCAAGACTGTTTTTGGATACTCAGTATTTTGCACTTGCATACGAAATTTGGGATAGTTCCTGTAATTTTCTGTAAAATATGTCATTAGAGTTTTGATAAGGATAACACAGAAACTTTATGCTATTTTGGATACTATGGACATTTTAACAATACTAATTCCTCTAACCAATGAATATTAGGTAATGCTCCATTTGTTTTATCTTCAGTTTCTTTTCATCACTGGACTAATATTTACAGAGTACAGATCTACACCTTGAAAATGTATTATTAAGTGTTTTATCTTGCTTTTGTAAATGGAATTACTTCTTTATTTTCCTTTTCAAACAGCTAGTTAGTGCTATGGATTATTTTATATCCCACATTTTTATCAAATTTGTTTTTTTTACTTTAATAGCTTTCAGTGGCCTTCTGAATGTATTTCCAAAGAAAATAGAATCAATAAGTTGAAGAGATATTTATACTCTTATGTTCAATACAGCAACATTTGCAACAGCCAAGATAAGGAAACGGCCTCAGTATCCATCAGTGGATGAAGTATGGAGAAAGTATTCTATATGATTACACACACACAGATACACACACACACACAGGAACATCATTAAGTTTTTAAAAGAAAGAAATTGTTTCATTTATGACAATATGAACAAACATGGAGAACATTTTGGTAAGTGAAATGAAACAGATGCAGAAAGACAAATACTACATGATTTACTTTTATATGGAAGAAAAAGAAATGCCAAGCTCATGTTAACAGAGAGTAAAATGAAGATTACCAGGCCTGGGAAAAGATGCAAAAGGAATATAGTGGTCAGAAATTATAAACATTCAATTCTGGGATGCATACGTTCTGTACTTCACAATACATCAGGGTGTTTACAATGAAATTGACATATCACACACTTGTACTCTGGTAAGGGAGATCACTAATGTCCTCACTGCAAAAAAGTAAAAGCTTTATGTTGGCTGTGCTTGAGGGTTGTGGACGGTGGTGGGCAGCATCCCGGGAAAGGGTGCTGCTGGAAAGGGGGCTGCTCCACAGGGTGTCTATGCCTCACAAAAACCTTGGAGTTTCAGCCCTGGCCCTACGAATGATGCAGAAAATACACAGTCAGATTTGTACTTTTAACACAGTAATTTCCACATCATAACTACTTTTCCTCCTTGCTGGTTTCCAGGCAACTGAGGTGCTCCAGACCTTCTTGCAGTCTCAGGCAGCAGCAGAGAACTCCATCCTGCAGGCAGACAAGGCTCTCACTGCTGGAGAGAAGGCCTTAGCAGGTACGGGGCCGGGCTCAGCTCACAGGAGGGTGGGGAGGTTCCTGAGATGAACTCCTGTGAATTGAAGGAGACGTTTTTCCTGGAATAAGAGACTTCCTCAGACTACTGAGCACATGGTCTGCTAAACCTGAAAATAACAAGGGCAGTTGGGCTGCACATCCAGCCAATCAGTGCCTTTCTGGCACATTCTGAAACATCCCCTTCCTGTTTAGGGGAAGATCTTCCCCTCCCACTTGCAGCATTGCTATCAAAGCTGCCTGCTCTTGAACTCAACAGTTTTTCTTCCCTTGTTAATGTTTGTGAAACAGCTGAGGAGGCCAAGAGGGAGGCCGCTGAGAAGGAACGGGAAGTGCTAAGACAGGGGGAGCAGGAGATGCAGCAAAAGATGGAGGCTCAAGAGAGAAGCTTCCAGGAGAACATCGCTCAACTGAAGGAGAAGATGGAGCGGGAAAGGGAGGACCTCCTCAGAGAGCAGGAGAGGATGCTGGAGCACAAGCTGAAGGTGAGTCTGGGGGCTGGGCGGTGCCCCGGGGGACAGTGTTCTGGATCCTGGGAAGGGCGGGACCCAATGTCAAGCACAGGTGTCATCCCAGAGGGAACCTAAAAGACAATTGTCCCACTGCAACCTCAGATACACCTGGGTCCCCCTGAAGCATGGAAATCTAGGAGACTCCAGCCCTTTCTGGAGTGTTAGACTTTGGAGACACAAATGACATTCTCCTGGGTTTGGGGCTGCAGTTGTTGCTCCAATTGTGAGATGGTCTCACTAAGCCCTATTCAATGGGACCTTAGCTACTGGTGCTTGAGATTTCTGGAACAACTCTCAAAGAGACTGAAATAGGTTTATCTGGTCTGATAATATCAAATTTGACCTGAGAGAAAATGGAGGACTCTGAATCTGGTCCATTGTTTCCAGATCTGCCTGATCATCCTTTATGACTAAAGTAACATACATCCTTTGTCCCAGCGTGGGGTTTGATAAGCACTGTCCTGTGTGGTGTCAGCACTTCTCACTAGTTGCTAGATGAGCTCAGCTGTGCCACCTCATGGAAATGAGAGCCAATTAGAATTTAATCCACATTCTTTCCCAATGAGCTTTCTTTGTCCCTATACAAAACTCCCCACTTTCCCCTGGGGAAAAGGTGCTAAGGAAATTTCACAAAAGTTAAACCATGAATTTTCTCCTATTCAAGTCAAAACTTCTGGTTATGTTGGAGGACAAATTCCACAAAAAAACCTCTAAAACAAAAAAACCAAAATGAAAGATCTCCACGAGTGAGATCCCAGTGGAAAGAATGGGTCATCAAAGAAGGAGGTACCTTTCTCTGAAGGGAGGAGAGAACTTCTGCTTTGACCATGGCCTTGTCTAAAAATGATCAGAGTCAGTGAACTCAGGGGGCTTCCATAGCCTTGGCAGCTCATGACAAGAGCCTAGGGTGATTACCGATGCCATAACCAAGAGTGTCAATTTGTTAAGTCAACAACAGGAGTCACTGTGCACTTACTCCTCATCTAGGATCTTTGTCCTTAGTGTGCTGTACATTGAGATTTAATGCTATAACTAGTACTCAAACAGTATTTTTCACTTTATGTTTCTGTGTGGG